AAGAAGAAGCATCTTAGTTCTCAAGAAAAGAAAATATATAATATAATAACTTCGTTAAAAAAGTAGCTCTATGCCTTAATTCGCGAAAAAATAATTTAGCACAAAGATTGCACGAAGCAGAAAAACTTTTAAATGAGAAATTATTTGCTACTATAGATGAGATGCCAACACCTATAAGGATGTTTTTATATCGTATTTAAGAAATATGAACAGAAATAAGTATAAAAGAGAATATACATTAGAGGATAAGATATTAGCATTGTCGCTTTATAAAAAGAGCCCTAAAGCTTATAGATATATGGCACAAATATTTTATTTACCTAGTAAAGAAACATTAAGAAAAGTGGTTCAAAATATTACTTTAAAACCAAGAATTTCTGATGTAATTTTTGATGAAATACAAGCTCGTGTTGAGTCATTTATTGAATTATAGATATAAATATTGCATACTACTTTTTGATGAAATGAAACTGGATGTTTCATTGACATATAACTCAGCTGCAGATTTAGTGGAAGGTTTTACTGATGATGGTGATGAAAGAAAAATCGAAATAGCTGATTATGTGCAAGTGTGGATGCTAAAAGGAATTTATGGTACTAAACCATGGAAATAACCAATTGTATTCTCATTTTGTAAAGATTGTACACCTTCTGATAATATTGTATGTACATTTAAAACTATTGTAACAAAGGCCCAAGATGCAGGATTACAAATTATAGCTTTGGTATGTGATAAAGGTACTAATAACATAAAAGCTATACGGCAAATGATTTTTGACTCCAAACAAGAAGCAATAGATAATAATTTAACTGTAGAGCATGATGTTATAATTATAAGGGATCAGCAAATTATCCCACTATACGATCCACCACATTTGTTAAAGTGCATACGCATTTATTAACAAAAGATTTATTATACAAATTAAAAGATGGCAAAGAATGAACAGCAAAATGGTCTCATGTTGAGGATGCGTATGAAATTGATCGCAGCAATGGGCATCTGCGAATAATGCGTAAATTAACAGATTATCATGTGATACCCAAAAAAAATAAAAAAAAAAATGAAAGTCTCGTATTGTACACAAGTTTTTAGTAACACTGTATCAAGTGTTATGGCATTAATGAGTAAAAGTCAAAGCAAACATTTTATTTCTAACAAAATCATGCCATCTGAAGGTATAGAAACTGCTGAGTTGCTATATTTTTTTAATTAATTATTCGATACTGTCAACAGTATTATTAAAGTAAGTGACATTATACACGAGCAATTGTGGATTGATGCCATTACTGTTTTCGAAAGTATGGAATTTATTAAAAAAAGGCCTTATGATAGAAAAAAATCCAGAAGTCTTGAAAAATTGGATACATACATTAAAAGGGTTTAGATTATTAAATGAATATTTGCGTGACCTTAAGTTTCAAACATTTATAACAAGAAACTTTAATCAAGATGCTCTTGAAAATTTCTTTGGACAAGTTCGACAGCATGGTGGACGAAATATCAACCCCAATTGTGGTACATTTCTAGGCTATTACAAAAGTTTGTTAGTAAATACATTTATAGAAACGTCCGCATGTGGAAATTGTGAATTTGATAACACTTCTGGATATTTATTAAACTTGAAAAAGCTATTAAATTTAGCATTATCAAAACATGAAGATAAAAATGATGATATAATTGCAATAACATTGTCGAAGGAGATACCGACATTTGATAATATAGATCTCGATGCTGAAACACAAATATCAATGTCAATGTTTAAAAATATTAATTTCAAAAAAATTGTAAAACGTGCCATGCAAATTTAAAAACTTTGCAACAAAATATATCTTTTAAGATTGGTATAGCAAAACTTAAAAATATTACTTACTATTATCTGCCAGTGATTTCTCACTTAGTGCAATTTTCTATGTATATTAAAAACATTGCAATGAATTATGTACATTTTGAGTTTTTAAAATGTGAACACGAAACATCGCTGAAAGAATTAATTACACATAGATATACAGATAAAATCATAGCAAATTATTTTGCACATGTCAGAAAAATATTATCTCCAAATAATTCTGATGACACACTTGTACAAGTTGCATATAAATATTTTATTAAATACAGCAAGAAAACTGTATAAACTTTTAAATGTTAAGCATAATAATCAAATATGTTTTTCATTTATGTTCTTCTGTAGTTATATATTCTCATAGTTGTATGTTCTTTTGTATGTTTATTTTCGTTTATGTTCTCCTGTAGTTGTATATTCTCATAGTTGTATGTTCTTTTGTATGTTTATTTGGAGTGGATCGAGTAGCTCTATTATGGGCATACAACTATGTTTGTATAATATATACAGGGTGTTCGGAAAGTACCGGGACGCCCGAATATCAGGAAAAATATAAGTTTTACAAAAAAATGTTTCAGACAAAAGTTGTGGCGTTTAAAAAGATGTATTTACTGATCACATCAGTTTGACCTTGGGTTGCGTAGCGAAGGTCAGGTCAAGGTCACATTAATTTTTTTAAA